CAGGATGGGGTGGAGGAGGGGAGAAAGGCAGGAGGAAAGGGAGGATGGGAGGGGTAGAGGGGAGGGAGGGAGGCAGGGAGGATGGGAGGGAGGCAGAGAGGCAGGGAGGGAGGGAGTGGGGGAGGGAAGGGAGGAGTGGAGGGGAAGGAGAGAGGGGTGAATGAATGAGTGAATAAATGACGTAGGGAGGGAGGGAGTGAAACCACAGAAGCTGGATCTGTACCTCAGGAGCCATTATTTGGGGTGAGGTCCGAGGGCATCACAGCCTGGGTCCTGGATGGTGGCTCAGGGAACGTCCATCTGTCCTCCCAGTGCTGACCTTCCTTCTCCTTGGACCCGGTGTCATCCTGGATCCTCTCCACCTCCTCCTCAAACAATTCTCAATGTTCCCAGGAACAGCGTGGCAGGAGGGAGTCTCAGGAGGGGCTTCCCGTATCCTGTGCCCCGAATGACAATGTGACAGTGGCTACAGGGCATTCTATCATGAGGACTGGGACCATGGATCCCATCCATCTCCTTGGGCATTAGCGTTGTTCCATTCCCTGCTCTCTCCACCACCGCTGTGATGAACACTCCTGAAAGCAGTTCTGTGAAAAACCGAGCCAGAGTTTCCGGGGGTGAGTCCGAGGCCGAGCATGCCAGGTGATGGGTGCACCTGCGGCCTGGGATGGGTGATGCTCACTGTTCTCCCAGACAGGGGTGCCCGTCACCCTTTCCTCCAGGGGACCTGCATTGGACCTCCACTTCCTCACGTTCTCCCCAGACCAGACCCCTGCCAGTCTGAGGGTGATGAGCGCTGCCTCCATAGGGTTTCCTTTGCCGGAATCCTTCCCCGGGAGCTCCACATCTCTGACACATATTCCCTGCATGCCTATCCTCCCCCTTGGACTGGCATGTGTTTGGTCTCCATCCCTGTGGAACCCAGTGACTTGGAGCGTGGTTTGTACCAGAGTCAGGTGAAACCTTTCTCTGGCCTTGCTTTGTGCTGTGTCTTCCAGCTTTCTGCGTTTCCCTGGTTTCTGTGTCGGCCACAGGAGTAACCAGCCGTTTCCTGTCTGGGGTCAGGCTGTGGTGTCCCAGCAGGTACAGGGGTCTCTGCCCCGAGATTGTGCCCATAATTCCTTTTTTTAAAAAAGATTTTATTTATTTGCGAGAGAGAGTGAGAGGGAGAGAGATCACGAGCAGGGGGAGTGGGAGAGGGAGAAGCAGGGTTCCCATGGAGCAGGGAGCCCAATGCGGGGCTCCATCGAGGACCCTGAGATCATGACCTGAGCCGAAGGCAGATGCTTAACGACTGAGCCACCCAGGCGCCCCTGTGCCCATAATTCCTAAAGTGGCCTCTATGATTACATCTGATCTGTAATCAATCGGGGATTTCAATATCGAATAAGGGAAATTTTATGACAAATAAACACAAGAAAACGAGTCCCCTTTGAAAATAGGTGGGCAGACACAAAGGCTCCTATTGCATGATTCCACGTACAGAAACATCCAGAACAAGTAAAAGAATAGGGAGAGAAAGCAGCTTAGGGGTTTCCAGGGTCTGGGCTGGGGGCGAAATGGGCAGGGGGGCTTCTGGTTCGGGGACTCCTTTGAGACATGAGATATTCCGCAGCAATGTTCTGGGGTGTGGTGGCACAGCGTTGGGAATGTACTTATGCTCATCACATGTTCAGTTGAAAACAAGTAATTTTATTTAAAACAAATAATAAACAGTATGCAGAACATGAAAATGAACAATATGAACCAGAACAATATGAACCAGAGAGAAAGAATATAGGGGGAGGGGGTGAAACAATCTGGCGGGGCGTCGGGGTCCGGCGATGGACCTAAGGGTAATTGTACAAGGAGCTCTCCCCGCAGGGCTGTGGGCTCTGGATGTGGCTCTGGGAGCCCTGCGGGAGCAGGAGTAGGGGCAGGGGTTGGGATAGGGGCAGGGCCAGGGGCAGGGGCAAGGGGAGGGATAGGATCAGCAGTCGTGGCAGGTGCAGGATCTAGGGCAGGACCTGGGTAAGGAGCAGGAACAGGAGCTCAGGCAGGGGCAGGGGCAGGGGCAGCAGGTCTGGCAGGGGAAGGGGCAGAAGCAGGAGCAGGAAAAGGAGCAGGAACAGGAGCTCAGGCAGGGGCAGGGGAAGGGGCAGCAGGTCTGGCAGGGGTAGGGTTATGAGCAGGAGCAGGGTCAGGGACAAGAACAGGAGCTCAGGAAGGGTCAGGGGAAGGGGCAGCGGAGTCTGGCAGGGGCAGGGAGAGGAGCAGGAGAAGGAGCAGGAACCGGAGCTCAGGCAGGGGAAGGGGCAGTGGCTCTGGCAGGGGCATGGGAAGGGGTAGGAGGAGGATCAGGAGCTGGGTTGGAGCAGTGGCAGGTGCAGGATCCAGGGCAGGAGCTGGGTCAGGGGCAGGATCCAGGGCAGGAGCTGGGTCAGGGGCAGGAACAGTAGCAGGAGCTGGGTCAGGGGCAGGATCCAGGGCAGGAGCTGGGTCAGGGGCAGGTGCCACTCCGTCCTGGTCCGCGTCAGGCTGTCCGTGGGTGGGTGCCGGGTCACCTGCCGGCTCCTGGTCTCCTCCTGAAGTCGCTGCAGGCACCACCCCTCCGTCCAGAGCTGCCGATGGAGTTGGAACCGGGTCTAGCTCCTCAGGTGGTGGGGCAGCTGTGAGAGGAGAAAAGCTCACCCCGAGCCTGCTCTCCGTGGGCCTTTGCGGAGACAGAACCCAGCCCAGGGCCTCCCAGAAAAGCCGCAGCCAGGAAGGAGCCCTCCCTGGGGTGTCTCCCCGACTGCAGTCCACCCGCTGGATGCTCTGCGCCTAGTCGTTGCTCCAGGCCCCACACCAGCCTCTGGGGGCTCGTCCCTGTGGGGCCAGCACCGACCCATCCCCACACACCACAAACACCCAGCCCCAGCCTTCTCACCCTCGGGCTCGGTCTCCGTGGGCTCCGGCTCCTGGACCACTGTCCGGTGACCAACCACCTGGGACAGTGGTCTGGGGGGTGTTGGAGGTCTTGCCCGGCAATCCCCAGCACTTGTTTTGGGGGATGCCTGTGGGGTCAACCCCTCCGTCAGGGAGGAGGGCATGTCCGCCAGCCGCCTCGGGAGGTCATCCATGGCCTTCTGCAAAGACAGGGACAGGTAGCCGGCTGGAGGCATCACAGCCCTGCCCGGCCATCCTCACTGTCCTCCTGCCCAGTCCCCCTGCTGCTCCCAGATCAGACACAGACCTGCGAGTGCACAGCCCTGCACCCGGGATGCAGTGACCCATCCCTGCAGGGCTATCGGGATAAACCCTGGGTAGAAGGGGCAGCGCCCCCACACCCCATCCCACCCAGCCAGCCTTGACCTTGAACATGACCTGCCCACTGGGAATCTGACCCCTCATCAGTCTGCTCCTGCTCAGGGTGGCCCCACCCCACATGACCCCTCTTTACACACACACACACACACAGACACACACGCACGCACACACACACTCACACAGAGACACGCACAGACACACACACACGGAGGGGGGCCTGGGGCTGCACAGGCAGATCAGAGCGTGTGGGGCTGGGTGGCAGGCTCTGGGCCTCCTGGTGTCACCTTTCTGTCCTTCCGGCCAAATGGCCAGAGGCTGTGGGGAGCCCTGATTCGACATCCCCAGCGGGGGACAGTGTTTGCAGGGCGGGCTTTCTTCAGCCTGCAGCGTCCAGATTTGGGGAAGCAGCACCCAAACATGCTTTTTGTTGGAGGGTCTCCAAAGAAATGAGCTGGGCAGGGGGCTGTCTCTGGAATGTGGGTGCCTGGTTACCGGGGTTCCAAATTCTGTTGGGCTCTGTTGTCAGGGAAGTGAGGTCACCACTGCCTGGGGTCCCCTTACCCAACTTCCTCCTCACACAAGACCCCCGCCCGAGGGCCCCCTCCCGCGGCTGCTCAATGCTCCCCCTCCCCCCATGCACCATCCATACAGTGACTCCCTCACAGCCCCCCCACAGCCTTCCCAAGGCCTCGGTGCAGCCGGTGTACCTGCTGTGAGGACACAGAGCTGGCTTCAGACTGGGCTCCTGTGCGTGCCCAGGGCTGTGACCCTGGACAGACCCTGTGCCTCTCAGGGCCTCCCCAGGCTCCCCATCTGCACAGTGCGGTGTTCTGGCTTCTACTCCTAGGGACGCCATCAGGGGTAGGACCTCTACATTCATTCCGGAACTGCTATCGCAGGAGGCTGGGGCACACTGGGCAATGCAAGGAGGAGCCAGGGGCTGGGCGGGACATGGAGCACAGCTCAGAGGGGCCGGGGTCTGCTCTGGGGTCTGGGCAAAGCCACCCCCTTCTTGCCTGTTCCCAGCCCCTGTGGGAAGGTTACAATGAACGGATTCCGACCTTGTCCCCCGGTGACGCACACTTCCAGGGGCTCCCATTAGGTTTAGGTTCAGGCCCCAGGGCCTTGTCTGCGCCCATGTGCTGGGCAGTCCCCACAGTGGTTCCCAGGCATTCCCGCATCCTGCTCACACATCCCTGTGGAATCCCCTCCCCTCTGGGGTGGATGGCCTGTGTGACCGCACTCTCAGGAAGAGAATGGGGCCAAATGCTGGGATGTCATTTCCAAGCTGATGGAGGAAAGTCTGTGACTTCTGGTTCCCACTGTCGTGTGTTCATTCTCTGTCTCCTTCTCTGTTTCTGTCTCTGTCTCTGTGTCTCTCACAGGAGCAGGATCTGTGGACTCCAGGGGTGATGTGAGAAACCTCAGAAGCCTCCCTTGTCCGTGTTTCCCTCTTCTGTCGCGGTGCTCCATTCCTTCCTAAGGCCTTGTCACCCGGACCAGAGCAGTGAATCTGGAACCTCTTCCAAATGGAGACCAGGAGGCTGCAACAAGGAGGGTCTTGGCCTTGGTCCCCAGACTAGTGGTCAGTGCTATGCCACGTTCTGCGTACCTAGGTCCTCAGCCCCCAAGCCCCAGTCTGTCCCCTGCTCCGAAGGACCTCGAGGGAGTACAAAGCATTTTCCCAGGACTGGGAGCACAGGGGGTCGGGGATGGAGATCCAAGGCCAACAGGCTCTCCCACAAGCCTGTGGGACCGTAGGGACCCTGCATCTCTACAGCCCAAGTGACAGAAGAGTAAGCTGAGGCCTTTGTGCTGGAGCCCCTCTGGACTTGGGGGTGGGTATCTCTTCCTGCTTCCAAGTGCCCAAGCTGGTGATGGACACCCGAACCCAGACCCTGTCCTCTCCCAGTGCCCTGGCAACCCCCCTGGGCCCCTTGGGGACCCCTGACCCTCAGCCTGGCCTGTCTCCCCGCCCCATGCTATGGATCTGGGTCCTTGCCAGGAGTCCTGATGCCCTGCCCCATGGCCCAGCTGTCTGCAACCTGTTTCTTCTTTCCCCCCTGTCACCCACCTCACTCCCAGGGTGTCCTCCCCTTCTGACCCCCAGCTGGGCAGTCAGAGTGGTGTGTGTGGGGGTGTGGGGGTGGGTGTGGGGGTGGGTGTGCAGGTGCATGTGCCTCTACCTGCCTGGGGATGCCAAGGTCATGTCCCCACATGGGACGGGGTGGGTAGCTATTCCTGAGGATCTGAGGGGCTCTCACCCCCAAAGCAAACCTCATGGGAGGGTTGGGACTGGAGAGCAGCTCCTTGGACTCTGCACCCCTCAGTTGTCCTGGGCCAGTCCCTGCCTCTCTTGACCCAGGTTCCCAACTGTCCCTGAGGGTCGGACATGGAAAGGCTTGAACGTGGCTGCTCCTCCAGGGTTAGGTGGGGGACAGGTGCACCAGGCACGCAGGCCTCCCCACCGAGAGGGCCAGCCAGGTGTGTCATGGCCAGGTGTGCACAGACGACCTGCCCACAGCTCCTGGACCATGACCCAGCCCTGCGGCAGATGTGCACGAGACCCACGGCTCCGCACCTGACCGGTCCCCCGCGTTCCCTCACCACCTCGGAGACAAGGGCTCTTCTTCATCCTAGGGCCCGTCATCCTTCGGACAATGAGAGCAGAGGGATCCGTATGTAGAGGAGGCCGGCAGGGCGTCCCACGGAACGTCGTGTGCCCATCTCTGCTTTGTCATCTTGGCTTAGCGGCGGACCCCCACCTAGAAAGAGGCCCACGGGGTAGGCACATTTGTCCGCCCTGTTCCCTGAAATATGGAAAATGTCTAGAAGGGGCTTCCTGTCCATTTGTGGAGTCGATGAAGCCCAGCCAGCACCTTTCAGATGTCTGAGTGGCTCTGGGGCCCCTTTGCCAGCCCCCAGGGATCCCTGCTCTGGCTCCACCCAGGATGGGAGCCCCAGAGGGAATCTGAAACCTCCCCACAGCCAGGAATGCGGGTTTGCTCTGGACACAGGACAGCGAGCCTTGGGGCAGAGAGCTCCTTCACGGTGGAGAGGAACCGCCTCAGCCCCAGGCCACCCTCCCCGTGGGCCGGCCACAGGGTCGGGGAGCGGTCCCAACAGGCCCGACGGCAACCCCCTGTGTGGGGCCTGGCCTCGTGGCACGCAGGGTCCCCAGGGGACACCTGAGGTTCGGAGAGGGGACGTGCCAGGCCCGAGACACACAGCCCGCATGTGAGGGGGAGCCTCCGGGCGGGACGGGGGGCCCTGCTCACCTTGGTGAGCAGCAGGTGTGGGAAGGGCTGGGGAGGCGTTCTTCTGGGAGGTGCTCCGCGAGAGCGGCCACAGGAGAGGGCCTGGCCCGGCTCCACCAGCTTCCTCAGGCTGTCACCACGGACCGCCCACAGCCTCTGGCTCGCCCACAGCCTCTGGCTCGCCCCCAGCGGCAGGGCCCACTCAGGTTCACGGTGGGGCTGATCTGTGGTAAAGGAGGGACAATTCACAACACAGAAACTGGAAAACTATTTCTGTCCGTGTCCTGAAGTGCAACAGAATATCCAAATTGGTTCGGATCATCTTCCACGTATGTGAAGGGTGATTTTGTACCTGGCCAAGGCTGGGGCTGGACCGGGTGTGTGTGTCTGTGTGTGAAGGACCAGGTGTGTGTGTGTGTGTGTGTGTTTGAAGGACTGGGTGTGTGTGTGTGTGTGGTGTGTGTGAAGGGAGCAGCCCAGACCCCTTGGGTTGAGATCATGGCCACGTAAGGGGCACAGCCGTCGTGGCACCCCGGGTCGTCAGTGTCCCGGATGGCGTCGGGGCAGGAGACCCTCGCGGCCCTCCCCGAGCCCGGTCCTGGAGCGCCCTCGTGCCCACACTCCCCCTGAGCCCGCACCAGCCCTTACCGACTGCCTGGTGCACGTGCCCCACGCCGGGGAGCCGTCGAGTGAGGCTCCTGTTGACCAGCTTGTCCCCAATTTCTTCCATGGGGCTCTGCGAAGACAGTGAGCGGCGCCCGGCCCGGAGGCATCACAGCCCTGCCCGGCCGTCCTCACCGTCCTCCTGCCCAGGCCCACTGCTGCCCCCAGATCAGACACAGCCCCGTGCAGGCACAGCCCTGCGCCTGGGGTGCAGTGACATGTATCGATAGGGCTCCGGATCAACCCGGGGAGAAGGAGGCCGCCCCAGCACAGCCCGTCCCTGTGCCTTGTCAGAGGAAACCGGCCTCCCCCAGCAGCGCTGAGCTGCCTCGAGACCTGGCTCTCGTTCTCGGGCTGCCTCGCACTCTGCCAGTGGTGCCGGATCGGGTGGGAGAACTGGTGTGGAGGTGGCTCTGCTCTGGAATTCACCCCGGAGCTGCTTTTGCCTCCGGAGGGGGACCGCGGGTCGGAGCTGGAGGGTCTCTAGTCGGCGGGGCCCTGACCGCTGTGGCCTCAAGATCGGGTCAACCTTCCTCTTGTAAATTTCCACAAAAGGAAGCAGGCAGAATCCTAGAGATGTTCTTCCAGTGGTGACCCCTGTGACGCTCCTGGATCCGAGTGGTGCCAAGGTGGACTGCCTTAGGAGGTTTGCGGGCACTGGCCCGTTTGAGGTTTGGGGAATCCCTGTGAATGCCGTGACCAGTTTTTACCATCTTGATTATGGTCTTCCATAATTTTTTTTTCCAAAAGGATGATACCAAATTACTATTTTTTTATGCATGCTTTTTAAACTTTTTCTCTACTGTATCTTCTGAAAGTACCTTCCCATATATTTCTGTTTTTTTTTTTTTAATTAACATAATACATTATTTGTTTCAGGGGTACAGGTCTGTGATTCACGTATTTCTGTTTTTAAGGAATTAATATTTCTAAATTTTCAGTGACTGAAAACATTTCCATGATATAGATGTACCATTTGACCAGTTCTTTACCTTTGGGCATTCAGGTGTTTTTTTTCCCTTCCTCTTTCTTACTGTCTTCCTGTTACTTCATTCCTTCTTCTTTCTGTCTTCCTGTTATTTACTGGTGATAGAACTTTTGTTTTTGGGTGTCCAGAGTTATTTGTTCGCTGGGCATAGAGTTATTTTATTAAAACCTAGTGTGGACTTTGGGTAGGCTGTTGCTTGTGAGAGTGCCACTTTTTGTGTTCAGGTATGGACTCATATCTTATGTGTATCTGTCTTCCCAGCATGTAGCATTTGCCTGGTACAGTGGGTGCTCACTAAAGAATTATTGTTGAGTTCCAGAAATATAAGGGCCATGGGACAAATATTTAAGTATTTACCACGTATTTAAGGCCCTATATATAGGAATGAACAAGACAAAGATTGTCCTTGCTCTCATAAGCTGAACTACTACTCTCTACAACAAGGTTTATGTTATAAAGATGACAAGCCTCTTAATGTGAGGATCAATTAAAAAACCTTAAAGTTGGGGCACCTGGGTGGCTCAGTCGGTTAAGGGTCTGCCTTCAGCTTAGGTTGTGATCCCAGGGTCCTGGGATCAAGCCCCACATCAGGCTCCCTGCCCCTCCCCCTCCACTCCTGCTCTGTCTCTAGCTTTCTCTCTGTCAAATAAATAAAATCTTTAAAAAAAAAAAAACCTTAAAGTCACACAATGTAGGAGAAGCAGTCTACGTGACCTATAGCGTGGTTACTTTTCATGCATGTGGCTAATTGAGGGTTGACTAGTTGATTTTCCTGTAGATGATATTTCTTATTTAGGATTGTCCGCTAGGGTTACTACAATGGAATGATTTTTTTCAGGTTCATACTTTTTGACCCTTTCAAGTAACTAGAATCAGTTAACTAAAATTTAAAATTTCATACCTGAACATAATATGTTATACTTAGCTATTATAGAGAACTCAACAGATCTTTTAGGATTGGGTTTGGGGGCAATAGGAAATATATCCCAAAATATTTTTGGTTTTTCTCTTGCACATTTTAAAATATGATTAAACAAAGATTGCAACCACGGAGATTTTTTGTTGTAAATTGGTGTTTCAACACTGCCAGCCGTCCACGCTTTTTGTGGTCCCACTTATAAAAGTGGAAAGTGAAGGGTGAGTGGCTGCCCTCTTGGGCAGGCACACAATTAAAAAAAAAAAAATGTGTGTGCCCCAGCAGAGCTATATTAGAGTTTCATATAGCTGCCTTTTTCTTTTTTATTGTAGGGCCAGCTCTCAATGTTGCAAGAAAAAATAGACCATTTGGAGCGTTTGCTAGCTGAGAATAATGAGATCATCTCAAACATTAGAGACTCGGTCATCAATTTGAGTGAGTCTGTGGAGGATGGTCCAAAAAGTTCACAAGGCAATTTCAGCCAAGGTGCTGGCGCACCTCTTCTGCCATCAAAACAGTTGTCCCTTGTAGTGGACCCTGAAGACTGTTCGTTCGCTTTGCAAAGTGGAAGTCGGAATTCAGATGTGCAGGTAATGTATGCATTCGTTAATGATCATTGGGATTTTCTTGCTTTTCTTTCTTTTTTGATCTGGTGTCTGTTTTAACTTAGTAAGTTGCTTAAACTCTGGATTCTAGTTTCTGTTTTTGTAAAGTGACTGGATTAGTCACATGACCATTAAAGTTGTTTTTAGTGATAAAATTCTGTAATTCTTTATTTCCCTAATTATTTTTTTTTATTATTTTATACTTTGTGATTATGGCCTTTTTGTATGCTTTTTAGGTCTTATTTTGTCTAGTAGATGAAGACTTTTAGAGGTTTAAATTTGACCAAAGAGATTTTCTTATCTTCCTATTAAGAGTATAAGAAAAGCCTTATTCTTACTATATATCTTTTATACATTATAGGTTTCACACAGTGTAGGGTTCGATACCTTCTGCTGAATATCTCTTTGTGAGAGAGGGAAGGGAAATATTCTAGAGCTGTGCTGTTCAGTATGAAAGTCACTGTCCACGTGTGGCTCCTGAGCACTTGAAATGTGGCTAGTTTGAATTGAGATGTGTTCTAAGTGTTGAAGACTTACTATGAAAACGAATACAAAATACTTTGTTTCATTTTACATATATGTGGAGATAATATTATGAGTATATTGGATTAATTTAATTAATTAATTAAAAAAATACAGATTTGCCTTGCATTCTGTTTCTCTTGGATAGCGCTTTTCTAGAGGGTGGTGGAGTTGTAAACTAGGGTAAGAAAGGACTTCTGCTTTTCTTAAATTTAAGGTGTGTCAAATGTGCTCTGTTCTGCCAGTTAGCAGAGAGCTGTGTTTAACCTGTACCTTAGACCTGAACTCAAACTTGGTGACGAGTCTGTACTCGTCAATTAATTTAATTTAATTTAATTTAATTTTGTTGGACAAAATGGGTTGGCTCTGGCCTTGCTTTGGAGTAGATGTTTCTACTAACTTCTGGGGACAGAGAATGTGATAGGATCTTGAAGCCCGTGGCTCACAGACCAAGCCAGCAGCTGGAGACAGAGTTGGCCAAGCCTTGTGCCCATAATCTTATCAACTAGTGTGTGGTCAGGTCCCCACACTATCAGGATTCTGTGCTGTGAAGGTATATCTATTTTTGTGAGTCTTGGCTTTGTATAGGTTTTAAATAAGTACCTTTTAAAGGAGAACAACAAAACTCTTTTTGGAGGGGGTTGTTAAATCTGGGCTGGACAGAAACAGCCGTATTGCTGAAGAACCCCAGAAGGCAGGCAGAACGAGGCAGTGGGGTACAGGGCGAGCTGCAGGGCCGGAGAAAAAACCAGAAGGAATAACAGAGACTGTTAACACATCCTCCTTTCCAGCTGGTTCCCTTTATTGACTCATCCTTGGAAGCATTTTATTTTATTTATTAAAGTCATACATTCTGAAGTGAGAGATATGTTGTTGCCTTAAAATACTTTGCATTCACTTTTTACATAATTTGCTCGGTATCTTTAAGTTTTTTTGTAACCCGCTTATATATTTTATAATATATAGTGATTTTTATGTAATTAAAATTTTATATATAATTTTTACATAATTTAAATTTTACCAAAGTCAAATTTTGGTAAAATCAGTTTTGTGTTCTTTGTCACATTTAGTATTATAGAGGATATGAAAAATACCAGCTTTTAGGTTTTTTTTTTTTTCTGCAATATTTTTTCCTTTGTGTCCAAAAAGATTATTACCTCAGACTACTACATTGGAAACATAGAGAGCATTTGAACATTTAAAAATTTCCATTTTTACATGATTATGCCTCATTCACTCAGTTGCAGTTTTAGTTTTAGAATGAAAAAGGTGAACATAACATTTGCTAAATGAAGGAACAGCTGTAGATGCATTTCCATTCAGATACAGATTTTAAAATATATGTGATTAATTGTAAAATAAAGACAACTCAAAGTAAAAAAAATCATCAGTATTGCTTGTGAAAATGCTGAAATATTTGGTCATAATCACATTTCATCAAGAAATTTTTTCTTTGCTGTTTAGTTCCTATCAGTTTCCACTAAAATGTATTAGAAGAAAAGCAGGGCAAGAAGGAATTGAATGAAATTATTTTTCATTAGAAGCAGATGGAGGAGGGGCTTATTTATCAGGATAGTTAAGTAACACAGTAGCATTTTAAGAATTTGAATGGTAATTAAATGTTTTCTGCCTTAAACTGTTCAGTTAATGTCTACAGAAATAGTTTTATCTAGTAAAATACATACACAGTGACTAGCTTTGAGCAAATATTTTCCAACATTAAGTTCAAATTAAAAATGATAATACATGGTTAAATTTACTCTTTTTTCCCCTATATTTTGTCTTTTGTATTTTTAGATGTTGGATGTTTACAGTCTAATTCCTTTTGACAATCCAGATGGTGGAGTTTGGAAACAAGGATTTGACATTAGCTATTTATTTAATGAATGGGACTCTAAGCCCCTTCAAGTCTTTGTGGTGCCTCATTCCCATAATGACCCAGGTAAAATTTACACTTCAAAAAAACTACAGGTTATTAAGCCCCTGTACACACAGAGTATTTTAACGAGAATCTGGTAGAGCTGATTTCTCAAGTTTTTGAGACACTATTTGCTGACTGGTTCCAGCAACGTATTCCTTTTATTTTGAGTTTTTATCAATTTATGTGCCATTCATGGATAGTACTTGTGCGATGTGAAATAGTAATAAACACAAGAAGGTCTTTGTTTTGGGGATGAAAAGTTGAATTCACTTAAGGTGCTGACTGTTCATCGTAGTTACTTCTTGTAAAATAGTGCGTGGGAGAATTATTTTGTGTTCATAAACTGTGCACTAAAAAATGCAGAATTCTCATGGGAACGTTTGAATCTTTAAAATGGAAAAGCAATGTAAAGTGGTTAAGAGCCTTGGTCAGGTGGACATGAGTGTGGAGTCCCAACCCCATGGTGTGAGACAACTTTAGGCAAGTTACAGAATGTGAAAGTAAGTATTTTCGCGGGTAGAATCAGAATAAAGTATCTACTTTATAAGATGAGTTGTAAAAGCGTGATGCATGGCCCCGGTAACTCCTGTCATTATCATTATTGTTATTATTTCATATGACAGCTTTTGTTATTTATTGGGGCTGGAGACCTTTTCCTCCAAGGTAAGGGAGAATTGCTAAAATTACAGTGGGAAATGTGATTCAATGTATAGATTTGTTAGTGTGAGTACACTGGCACAGAGTAAATACTTCATGAATTCTGTTGCAGAATTTTTTGGGGAATGTACTTCAAAAGACTTCCTTTGAGGACTGACTTACACTTCTATTTGTTACTTTTCTCAATTTTTCCATTTCATCATTACTAATCAGAGGCACCATTATTCACCTAGTACTTTGAAGGTTTTTTTCTTTACTCCCAGCATTCATTTATCTCTGACTTATATCCTTTCCCATTGATTTATTGGCATATGTTCCCTTCTGTTTCTAAGACAGTAGAACTTGTTGCTTTAGGTCTGGATGGACACATGATTTGGTGAAGTTGTGTGTGTCTGTGTGTGCGTACACACGTGTGCTGCTTTGGATGTGAAAGGTACTCGGACAGTTTGGATGCTGAAATGTTTGAATTTCCATAAAACTTCAAAATTCAGTATGCACAGAGGTCTGAAATATGTGAAATCAATATTATTTTGGAAATTTGTGATGAGCATATGTCACACCAGCTTCTGACTTGGTTTCTCTGTCTTTGGTCTTAATGTCTTTATCTTTTCTTACAAATACCCATCCATCTTATTAACCTTTCCTCTTAAATGTTTTGCATCTTCTTCCTCCTTAATCTTAGCCTGTCCCTTCAAATCCAAACTCCGATGGCCAGGCATCATGGAAAGACTGCAGGGATCTGGAGCCAGGCAGAATGAGGCAGGCATCCTGGCTTGGCTGTATACTGGCCCCAAGTCCTTTGGGCACATTTGTGTGTCTGTCAAATGCAGATCATATGGTAGATCATCTTAAAGCAGGAGTTAGTTATCAAGTAAATACAAAAGGTGATGAAAATCACACGTAATTAAAATTCCTTTAGCTATTTACTTACTTGTATGCCAGATTAAATAGTACATTTGCATGTAGGGTATGTGTACTGAAAAACAGGTCTTTGTTTATATCTAGACTTAACAGTGAGGTGAGGTGCTCACACTTGATACGTGGGATCTGAGTTTGCCTGTAGAACTACAGATGATTGATTTTCTCTGTAAATCTCATTCACTCTGAAATATTCCCTTATTGAGTGAAATGGTGGCAGAGCCCCTGTAGTATTTAAATTGTTCTCTCCTTTCTTCTCTGCCAGTTCATTTCTTGTCTCTTAATTGGGTGTGTGATGTGATTCCATTGTATCCAGTTTCTTATAGGGTCGTCAATACACTTTGCAGTATGTCTTGCAAGTCCTCATGTGAACCCATTTCTCCAACCTTTTAGATTTTTTAAAGACTTTTATTGTCTCTTCCCCTTTTCTGCCATCCTCAGTTTCCACCAATCTCATTTCTTATAATTCTAGAACACACACGCTTAACTGTAATAATAAAATTTGTGGTTTACCAGGCAGTGTGCCAAATGTTTTATAAACGTTGAGTGCTCAAAACAACCCTAGAAGGTGAGTGTCACTATTCCTGATGAAGGCGTTACCAACTTGTCAGACTTCCAGGGGCAGTAAGTGGCACCACAAGAATTCCTTGTTACTTTACCTGGACCTCCCACCTGAGTACACTCAAGGGACAGAGAACATGTGCCTCCTGTTCAGTCTGTCTCATTGCCTAGCCCAACACGTGGCATATAGTAATCGCTAAATAGAGACGAGGCCTTCCCGACCTGTCTCCATGCCCCTCTGAAGCTTCTTGAACCTTCCATACTTGCACACAGGCAGAGATGTCAACGTTTACAGCACTTCTGCTTTGTCTCCTCACTAGAATGCAAGCTCAGTGAGGGCTCACACTTTGTCTTATAACCAGCAGGTCACTAATGCCCAGAAGAGTCAGCAGCACATGGTACTGACTCATTCGGTTCAATAAAATAGTGAACCAGGGAATGTGATTCTGCAGACTCAGATGAAACATTGGACCTTGACATTCACATTTCTTTAGCTTCCCTCCATCTCTTCTTCCTGTTGTCTTATTTCTGTTCCTTAAAAAAAAAAAATATTTAAAATGTGCTTTGTAATTTTAAATACAAACAGCAGATGATGTGAAGCTCTTCAAGGGCAGGGATAACCTATGCCTTTGAGATTTTGTTTGTTTGCTTTAGGGGTTCCCGCTGTAGTTAATGTGTTTTTCCGTGGGGAGATTTCTCTAATCATTGGTCCTGACTGCTCTAAGTGAATCTGTCTGTTGGCATTTTAGCAACCAGAGTTGAGTCTTTTTGTCTTAGTAAAAGATGTTAATGACCCTTACCCTCAGGCCCTCCTCCACTTGAGGAAGAAATAATAGTCTGACACTGACCTTTTATTTTTTTATTTTTTAAAGATTTTATTTATTTATTTGACAGAGAGAGACAGTGAGAGAGGGAACACAAGCAGGGGAAGTGGGAGAGGGAGAATCAGGCTTCCTGCGGAGCAGGGAGCCCGATGCGGGGCTCGATCCCAGGACCCGGCGGATTATGACCCGAGCCAAAGGCAGATGCTTAATGACTGAGCCACCCAGGCTCCCGCATGGACTTTTTGAAAGCAAAAGCGATAGCGATTTTTGCTACCAGCAAAATAGAGAACAGAACCGCTGGCTTTTCTTGATAATTTTCACCGCTCCTTCACAAAAGTGGAATTTAGGTAAGCTAAATCATTCTGTGAAGAAGTAAATCGTTCAGATCATGAAGAAACCTCTTTTTCAGTGGAAGAAAAGAGATAAGTGTGTGCGCAGACATTCCGAGTCAAAATGTGACTCTGTAATGGGAAATCTTTGTATAATACTCCTAAATGAATGTGCAGTTAGGCGGTTTACTTTCTAAATGAGATTTATAGAGATTTGTTTGCATTTTCTGCAGCAACAGTTTAAAACAAACTTTAGCTTAGTGGTTTGTTTCATCAGAGTTTTGTCTGTTGGGGATAGGAATATTTGAAATAGACTTATGAAAGATTCCTATATTGAGTTCCCTAACTTTAGGAATTCTGTTGCTGTGTTTTTATATATGTAGGTGTTTTTCTTTTTGGATCGAGTTCTGATATCTCACAAGACAGATAAATTTCAAATTATGTTTCGTATTTTAATTCCTAATCATGCCTTCTTCCAGTCTATGAGGACATGTAACAATTGTCATACAGCATTTTGTATGGTTTACATGAGTTAAAACAAAATTGGAAAGGAATTGTTAAGTAAATGCTGATAACTTTGTACTGTTACGCTTTTGAAAAGTTCTGAATCATAGACCATGAAATTAAATGTTAGTTGATTGATACATGTTCATGTTATATTTAATAAGCTGATTAAAACAGCACCTTTGTATCTACAATCTTAATTCTTTCCTTCCCACTACTTAAACTGCCGGAATATTTAATTTTCCTTCAAAAAAGTCACAGTGTGTAGAGAGTAGATAAGGTATACTAAATGGAAAGTTGGACCGCATATTGTTAGTTAAGCAATATGTAAGATGAACATTAGAAAATAATCCCCCATGTGGTATGACTCTGAATCAGAGAGACCTAGGCACAAGAGCCACAGTGGAAAATCATTTTATTTTGTGCATTTGCAGTTGTTTTACAGAGTTTTTATTGATTCAAATGAGTGAGTAGGATTTTTCACTTTTTTTTAAATTAAGGAAACAGAATTTTGCATTTAGCATTATATGATAATTTGAAATGAGTGTATGTACCCTTATTCTTTTTTTTTTTTTTGAAGATTTATTTATTTATTTTAGAGAGAGTGGTATAAGTGGGATGAGGGGAGAGGGAGAGAGAATCCCAGCAGACTCCCTACTGAGCGCAGAGCCAGACTTGGGGCTCAGTCTCACGACCCCGAGATCACAACCTGAGCCAAAATTAAGAGTCACCCTTAATCGTCTGAACCATGTAGGTGCCCCTGTGTGCCCTTTTTCTTAAAAAAAAAAAAAAAAGCGAGAGAGAACAAAAACGTGAGGAAATCGCAGTGTGGCATTATTTTAAAGGTTTTCTGCTCATGTATTGTTCAGCACAATCAGAAGAAAAGAGTTCTGGTCAGCCATAGTTGGGTAACACCCAGTGGGTGAAAGCAGGGGAGACTTGCAAGTCCATCTGCCAAAGGAACCTGCTGAGTGGAAGGAGATGGTCAGGAGAGGGCCATGTGTTTGTGGGCACAGTTTGCGGAGCACTTTGTTCTGTTTAATAATTGAGGGATAAAATGAGTTCTTCGGTTTTGGCCACTGTGATGGGAAATTTGAGTTTCTGGAGCTAAAATGCATGAGGAAGAACTGAGTGAGAACTGGTATTCATTGCCTGTCTTGTATCAGGGGAGTGTTAAGTGTGTGTTGCTTCATGTAATCCATTCTGCAACCCTTAAAACTGGTAAATT